TTTTTCTGTGATAGAAGTCAACAAGCAACAAGCCCATGGGTGGTGGGGAAGGGTGAGGTTTCCATTTCCTTACTGGAAAACCTCCTTGGCTCCTATCTAGTGACAAAACTACAAAATTCTTAGTAGAAAACATAATGTGCAAACATAATGTCATCTTGGATTAGGTAACAGCTTCTTAGGCATGACCCCAAAAAGCACAACAAAAGAAAACAGATAATGTAGCTAAGCCAAAATTAGTGATTCAAAAGACAGCATCAAACTAAAAGCCAACTCACAGGATGGGAGAAAATATTTGCAAATTACATATCTCATATAGAACTGTATTTAGAATATGTAAAAAATATCTTTTACAACTCAGTAATAAAGTCAAAAACCTTATTTAAAAATAGGTAAAGTATTTGGACTAACTTCCAAATAATACTACACATGGCCGATTAGCCTGAGAACATACTCAACACCATTAGCCATCAGGAAAAATTCAAATCAAAACCACAGTGAGAAGCCCTGTGTGGTGACTCATGCTTGTAATTTCAGCACTCAGGAGGCTGAGGCACAAGGACGGTATAAGTTGAGGCCAGCCTGGGGTCACTTAGTGAGTTGAAGTACATTCTGGACTGCATAGAGAGACCCTGTCTCAAAAAACAGAGACAAACAAACACCACAGTGAGATACTACTTTGCACTTACTAGATGGTTATAATCTAAAACACAGACAAGAAGTGTTGGTAGGGATGTAAAGAAGCCAGAACTTGCACACTGTGGTGGGAGTGTAAAATGGTGCAGTCTCTATGGAAAATAGTCTCATAATTTCTCACAGTTAAACCTAGAGTTACTATATAATTTACCAGAAATGTAACCAAGAGAAATGAAAAGGTGACTACACAAAAACTTATAGGGCCGGCCAGAGAGCTCAGCTAACTAAAGTGCCTGCTTAGGCAGAGCACAGAAGCTGGGGTTTGATCCAAGGCATACCATGCTGGCCCTGCCCCAGGGCGCGCTGAGAAGGTGACTGAGACTGGGTGTAGTGACGTGCGCCTTTAATCCCAGCGCGTGGGAGGCTGAAAACAGGAGAATCACTATGAGTCCGAGCTATGTAGTGAGACCCTGTAGAACCTGTCCTAAATATAAATAAATAAATAAAAATAAAAACATATATATACATTAAGTTTACAGCAGCATTATTCATAATAGTCAAAAGGTAGTAACAACTCATTATGTCCATCAGCTATTGAACTCATACATAAAATGTGGTATATTTATCTAATGAATTATTTGCAATAAAAAGGCATGAAGTTCTGATACAAGCTACAACACAGCTGAACACTGTAAACATTATGCTAAATAAATGAAATGGATACAAAGAGCCACACATTATATAATCTCATTTACATCAAAGGTCTAAAAGAGCTAATCTACAGGAGTGGGTGCCTAGGGCAGAGAGGGATGAGGGATTAGGGAGGTGATGGATAAGGAGTATAGGATTTCATTTTGAAAAGGCTCTGAAATTAGATACTGGTGATGTTGCATAATACATAAGTACATTAAAAGCTATTGTACTGTGTATTTTAAATGAGTGAATTATGCGGTATGTGAATTATATCAATAAGACCATGTTAAAAAATGTACTAAGAATGTAGAAATCCCATAAACAGCCCCCCCCCATTTTTATACAAGATCAACATAAGTAGCTGCTCTAGGAAGTTAGAAAAGCCTCTTCCTAAAAAGTCAGGGGAGCAAAACACACAAATAAGCAACAGAGAAGGACTTAAGTCCTTTGAAGTCCTCTCAAAGTCACTAATAGGAAAAAGAACAAGGTGCACAGCAACATTCTCCTTAACAGTAGAAGTAGATAGACCAGACATGGTATTGCATACCTACACTCCCAGCACTTGGGAGGTGGAGGGAGAAAGACTGCTGAGAGCCAAGGCCAACCGGGGCTACATAGCAAGTTCAGGGCTATCCTGAACTACATAGCAAAACCTTGTCTCAAATTAATGAACTTAAAGTAAGCTAGCAAGCTATGAAACGTGCCCTTCAGAAGATCAAAACTGGCATGCTTTTTCATGGTACACTAAAAGCACAGGAAAAAAATAACAGAATATCTCAGGGAGTGAGAGAAGAAAGGATTAGAAATCAAAGAACTGATAAGAATGAATCAGAAAGAACAAGAATGCCATCCTCTCTGCCTCACATCCAGACATAGCTCTGAGAAGGGCAGACACACTTGACAGGGGACACTAGCGGGGGCCTGTACATAAGCACTAAGAGATATAGAAAGT